AAAAAAAAAGATATTATTCTTTAAATGTATATTCTCCACATTAAAATGACTTAATGGGTAAGTTACCACAAACATACAGAAGTCATGCTGTGCTCATGGAATGAACACAGGCACCACAAGCAGCAGATATCTGTCCTAGATGTCCCCTCTCCCTGACCAGGACTCTCCCAGAGAAGCAAAAGCCAAGATTTTTCCCCACCAGTATCTCCCCTCTCACTTTAAGCAAATCCACCAAAACATATTTACCTCCCACATCAGAGAATTGTCTCCATGGGCCTTGACTTCACTGGCATTGACCACTTTACCTTGAAAGGGCCCAAACCTGACTCCTTTGGCAACAAAATTACTGCAGAACACTCCAAAATGTGGGATTTTGCCAAACATTGTCTTCATGAGGCAGAGACCTAGGGGAAGTCCAAGTCAAGAAAAGAGAATGAGCAAGTGACTCTGCATTAGTTCAGGGAAAGAGACCCAAGCAAGGAGTCCCGCATACCTTCTGGAAGTTGCAGGGAGTCTTTATCCGGAGTTTGAGGAAGAGAATCAGATCCTAGAAAAAGTCAGGGTTAAATTTTTGTTTCTAGTTAAACATGTATCATGAAAAGCTTTTTCTTAGAGAGACAAGAGTTTCACTTTGTTGCCCTTGGTAGAATGCCATGCATCACAGTTCACAGCAACCTCCAGCTCTTGGACTTAGGCGATTCTCTTGCCTCAGCCTCCTCCTGAGTAGCTCAGACTACAGGAGCATATCACAATGCCCGGCTATTTTTTGGTTACAGTTTGACAGGGTTCGAACCCACTACCCTTGGTATATGGCTCACCCTCACTGAGCCACAGGTGCTGCCCATGAAAAACTTTTTACAAGCCATTTTCTTCTCAACTCCCTAAAGATAACTCATCCTGAGTTTGACATTTATCTATTCTATTTTTCCTGCTTCTTTTACATGAGCTTTCACATACAATTTCATTGAGAATTTGTCATTTGCGACTCGCAACAACCTTTTGCAAGGATATGTAATTAACCCCATTTGGAAAATTTAAGAAATTTGAGAATCAGAGATAATGCTTGACTAGTCAAGGCAGATGGCTGTGCTGGGACCTTAAGTGTATTTGAATTATGTAATGTAAAGCTGTCATTCAGACACCTTGCACATCCAGAAAAATCTGATCCCAGGTGACAAATCCACTGGGCAAACCACTTCTCTCCTGGTCCTGGGCTCTTACTAAAACCACCTTTAGGAATCCTGCAGTCAAGCAAGCAGGACCTGAGAAGCCAGCCTAGAGTCCCGGGATCGCACCCTTCCCTGCCTTGAGCAGCCTTACATCTATCTGGAAGAGCCTAATCCCCACTCCCACTCCCGCTGTATTGCCATGCAACCCAACTCCCGGACAGTGTGGACTCCCTTTACCAGAGCTGTCTGTGGGGACGAGGAGGCCGGAAATCGCATGGCGCAGGCCTGTTGGGTGCTCCAGGCTGGGAGTGACCCCATATAGGACCAAGTGCAGATCCTCCTCGGTGAAGTGAAAAGGACCCGGTGACTTCTCCTCTTGGTTGGAGGACTTGGGCTCATCATCAGACAGCTTGCTGGATGAGTGAGATGACTGGGAGGGCTTCAGCCCCTCAGGTAACTGGGAAGCATCCACAGGGGGCAGTGGAATTAAAGTTTCAGGTGGGTAACACTGGCCATTGTCGCCACGGCCACCAACGTGACCCAAATCTTCACCACTAGCACCCGTGTATTCCAGGCTGCTGTTCAGGAAGTGCAGCACCTCCCCGGGAATTGGGTACCACTGCGGTAGCTTGCCGTACCAGGGTAGATCGTATAGCAGCTCGCTCTGCAGAGCCAGACCCGGGCCCAGAAAGGGCGATGCCATCTGGAAAGTGAAGGGGGGAAGGGCCGGGACAGCTGACATCGCGGCCTCCAGTTGCCGAAAAGGTTGGAAATCCTCTTCCGTAGCGGTCAGAGCGTTTCCATAGTGGCCAAAGGTTGGGAAAGGTGTGTAATAAGCAGCCAGGTGCTGGAGGCTGCTCTCAGGCGGGTAGCACACCTTGTCCTGAGGCCTGGCCTCATCTGGCGGCGGTAGAGCCATCCCTAGACACAGCACTCGGCGAGTCTGCGGAAAAGCAGGCACGAAATGGGGTCATGCCCGATCGCTGGCCCGGGCCCCTCTTCCCGAGACAGCCCCAAGGTGAAGGGAACTGGATAAACTTCCCAATTTGGTCCCGTAAGCCCTACCCCACAATAAAAACAAACAAAGAGAAACATTAAAAACAAACAAATAAGCCCAAACGAAAATCTGCCAGGATCCCTCTCGACTCCAGGTTCCTGGTTTGTGCTGTCTTCGTCTTCCCTCCCCAAATCCGCCTAGACCAACTGCGGCTCGTTTTCTACACACCCTCTCTGCGTTCAGCCCCCAACCCGGTTCCTGCAAAATCCGTTTTAGGTTCTCTCTCCCTCCTTTTTGGTCCGACAAAACTCTTCAACAGGCTCTGTGGGAGCCGCCTGGCCCTCTTGACCCCCGGGCCGGGCTGGCAGCCGAGCGCCAGGCTGGCAGAGAGCTCAACGGCCGGGTCCCCCGCAGGGAGAGATGCGCCAAGGGCCGCGGTCTGACCAAGCGGGTGGAGACGCCTCCCCGAGCCCGCCTGGGTCCCGGGAGTCCCGCTCCGGGCCCGAGTCAGACTCCTCAAGTCTCGGCGGTCCGGGCTGCTGGGAGGGGACGGGCGAGCAGCCCTCTGCTCCCAGGACCCGCCCGGGACCCACCGCCAGCTCCGCTTCCTACGCGGGTCGAGTCCCTCGGAAGCTCCAGTCAGCTGACCAGGAGGGTTAGGGAACCTGAGGTCGCCTCTCCACAGCCGGTGAGGTCGAGCCGCAGGCCAGGTGAGGGACAAAAGCTTTGGCGACCGCCGGCCCTCTCGCCCCCGAGCCGCGACGCGATCGCTGCCCCTAAGGGTGGCCTTTTAACGGGTATGCAGCGAGTTCACCCCGGCTGAGGAGCGAAGTCCTTTCAGGGCCAGCGGGGCTTGAGAACAAGATCAATGAGACTAATAACGTAACCAAGGAGGGTCGTGACTCAAATTAAAGAACACGGGGTCAGGAGAAGAGGTCAGCCACGAAGCGGGCATCTGCCACTCTTTCTCGAGCCTCCAAAGGCGCCCCGCTCCTGGCCTCCTCCCACCCCAAGGATCTGCAATTTGGGTTTGAAAGCCACGTAAAGAGTAAAAGCTCCCAAGAGGGCAAAATAACCACCCGAAACCAACTGCGCCAGTGCTGCCCGCGCTTCCCAGCCGCCCTGGGAGACAGCTGCCCCGGGGCCTCGGGGCGCGCCCTGCCCGGCACCTACCTCCAGGCACCCGCCTCCGAGAGCGCCGCAGCCGGGCGGACACCTCCAGGACCCAGCAGGGACAGGAGAGGTCGGGACCGGCAGGCTTCGTTTGGGCCCCGAGGGCTGAGCCGAGTTTCAGAGGGCGGGTGGAGCCGCAGGGCACCCGGAAAGCTAGGGTGGGACGGGGACCGGACCCACGCAGGTCCCGGGGTAGGTATTCTCTCCGCCCACCGCAGCCATTGGCCGACACTCGACTCGCCCCCAGCCCCCTGGGGTCGCACGCTTAACTCATCACTTCTCCAGACCCTCCCGGGACCCCAGTGGAGAGCGCTCGCCGCTGCTGCTCAGTCCCGTCGGGTCCGGCCACTGTGCCACCCAGGGTTCCCCGATAGCTTCTCCGCGCGCGCACCCAGCAGGACCCGGAGCCCTCGAGGCCGGGACGCGTGTCCAGGGCTGGCGCTCCCGCCTCTCGGCCTCCAGTTTCCCGGCGCCGAGCGTGCCCGCAGGCGGCGTCCAACCCGCCCCAGGACCAGCGGGCGTCAGTCCCTGACACCTGAGGAGGAGCGGGGCGCCCCTGAGGGCCGGGAAGCCGCACCTCTCGGATGCCCGGGGGGGGCACCTGGGGGCCGGGGCCCGGCGCCCCCGACTCTTCCGAGGTTTCCGATGGTAGTTTTGGCCTCAGGGGCTTTTATTCCTTGAATGGATTTTTTTGGATTTTTTATTTTTTTGAGGCAGAGTCTCACTTTGTCGCCTTCCGTAGAGTGCCGCGGCCTCACAGCTCACAGCAACCTCCACCTCCCGGGCTTAAGCGATTCCCTTGCCTCAGCCTCCGGCGTAGCTGGGACCACAGGCACCCGACACAACGCCCGGCTAGTTTTTTAGAGACGGGGGTGAGGGACCCTTCCTCAGGCTGGTCTCGAACCCGTGCGCTCGGGCGAGCCGCCCGCCGCGGCCTCCCACAGTGCTGGGATTACAGGCGTGAGCCACCGCGCCCGCCCTTCCTTAATGGAGAACGGGCCACTTGCGCCGCCACAACTGTCACTTCCCGGGGAAGGCTGGCGACCTTGGATGCTACGTCCTCTGAAACCCAAGTTCCAGACCCATCCCCAGTGCTCCAAGACCGCATTTTTATTCTCTGAGTGGGCCGTTTAGGGAGAGAAAGGGGCGCTTACTTCCATTCACATTCACAGATGGCAGCACCAAGGGTGGGGGAAACCCAAGTCACACGGGTGAGCCGGGCAGGGTTCCTTCCACCTTAACCGATCGCGGCGACGAGCCACCCGCCTCGGCCGCGGCCCTAAGGAACAGGGTAAAGCCGCACACCTCTCCGGGCCGGGCCCTGGGAGGGCGGCCGCAGGGGACACCACCCCCAGGCTAAGGGACGCCGCCTAAGTTCCGAAAGCCGGCGGGGGAGAGAGGATGGCTGCCGAGTGTGGCCGCGCCCGACACCTACCTCCCCGACCTCCCGGAGCACCAGCGGCCGGCCGGGCGCCCTTTCTCCGTCCCGGGACCCGCCTGCAGCACTCGCGCGCCGACCGGCGCGGGACTGGAGGAGGAGGAACTAGCTGCGCTCGGAGGCCTTCGAGGGGGCGGGCGGCGCGCGCCCCGCTGCTCGTCCCCGCCCGCCGCGTAGCCCGCCGCGCCCACGTGCAGCCGGCGGCGAGCGGAGTGACCTCGCGCTGCGCCGCCGGGCGCCGTCGGGGAAGCCCGAGCCGTCTGCGTCTAGCCGCGTTTCGCAAGTAGCACGCGACGTCCGAGCTGAGAGGTGGCGCGTTATTTTCTCAGCCTAAGGGAGCTGAGGAGCCCAGTCTTGCCTCCTCTCTTTGTCTTCCGATGATAAAACATCTTGGTTGAAGAAGTGCGGAGCACCCGTGAGGGCGCCGGCCACGTACACCCGCGCTGGCGGGGTCGAGGGCCAGGCCCCTCTGGGGAAGGATCATTTACTTAAAAGAGCAGGATGTATTCTGTCCGCTCCCTTCACCCAGAACTTCTAGAACCCACTTCCATTTTATTCCTTCCTCCCGGACCTCACCGGTAGAATTTAAAGTGTGTGCAGACGCACAGGGGGGTCCCTGGATGTTCCTTCCGCGCCGGGCCATTGTTTAGTGTGCTCCAGGGTTGTGCCAGAAGCAACGCCTTATCTTAAGAGATTTGTTCTGGAAAGAAACTAGAGTTGAGTTTATTGCAGAGCAATAAATATTTAAAAATATTTTTTTTCAGGGGCCAGGCGCGGTGGCTCAC